CCCATTTTTAGTCTAGGGGGATCCTACGGCCACCGAACGCTGCCCCGTAGAAAGAAAAGGAGCTGTGTACATGATTCTTCTTCTTCTCTTTTTCTTTTTGCTTATTTGTAAATACATGCATTTGTGTAAAAAAGAAGAATACATACAAAAAACAACTACCACCCTTCGGGATCAAAAAGTAGGTTACCTTCTGGGTTTTTTTTCTGGAACTTTCTTTTTTTTGGTACTTTTGGAATTGCGTGGTAATTTCAAAAAAGTACCAAAAGAACAAGGAACAAAGTGTAAAAGAGTCAGACCTCCAACCAAGTCTTGAGAATTCAAAATCAACAAAAAAAACGCTTCCTTTTTTGGACTTACTTGGAATTTTAGGTCCTTGTTTAGAAAATGAACTTTCGTCGAAAGTTCTAGACTTCTGACTTTCGGAATTTCGGATTTTCGGAATTTCGGAATTTCAGAATTAAGGAATTCCGGATTTTTGAAATTTTGGAACTTCTGAATTTCTGAATTTATCGAAAACTGTTATTTTTGCTGAAAAAATGCTGAAATTTTGAATTTCTCAATAATTCTGAATTTTTAAGTTTCTGAAAACTTCTCAATTTCTAAAACTACAAAACCTTTGAAACATTTAAAAAACGAGAGTTATTTTTGAACTACGATACAGCCATGAGCATCAAGTACACCAAAACTTAAAAAAAAATACTTTTTATGATTTATTCTGCCATCATAAATATCAAAAAGACCATAAAAAGTGAGTAATATGTAACGACTAGGGAACAGATACAAAAACTTTGGATAATAATAAATCATTTTCTATACAACATGTCCTTCTTTGAACTCTCCGTCTGTCTCTTTTTGTATCTTGATTCAGTTTGACGTCCACAAAAATTTGTTGTCTAAAACTACAAATTCAAATTCTCAGTCCATTGTCGTCCCCCTTTTTTAGTATTCCGCTGGAAATTCCGACATCCAGAGAGCACTATGTTGCAGTGAATAACTAATCGTCCATCTTTTTTTTTCTTCATTTGTCATAATTATTCCGTATTGCGTGACTTCTTCTTTATATGTAACACCAGATAATTAATGTTCTTGGTGCCAGAGGAGACCTTTCGTCTCGTGACTGATTCCTACTTAGAAATTAGTGACCAAATTTTTCTAATAAGGAGTTTAGTCTTGTAGGTTCTTATACACTTTTTGAATAATTTTCTTTTTTCGTCTGATTTGTTAGCAATTCGTCGGTCTATTCAGCCTTATTTTCTTCTAAATTTTATGTGATATGAAATTCGACAGATCGGTATGAGACCAATTCAGGGGTGTTTGAAATAGCCGTTTCAGAAATTTCTCGGAACTCCAGAATTTCGGAATATTCCCAATTTGAAATTTTCGGAATATTGAAAGATTTCAATCTTTAAAATTTCGGAACTCCGGAGTTTCCCAATTTTAAAAATTTCGGAATTTGCCCATTCCAAGAAAATATGAACAAAACGTTTCGAAAATACAAAAAAAATTAAAATTGATTCCGCTCGAGGTCACCATGTAAACTTTTCGAGTGTGCCGTTGACATACGGTAGTCCAAAAAGCTTTCGAAAAAATATTCCGTTCGGACTTTCGGAATTTAAGGGATCCCCATCCGAACATTCCTGGACCAATCCTGTATCACTTTCTCAATATTCCCAATTCCGACGATCCTCAAATTTTTTCTTTTAATGTATTTTAGCAAAAAAAAACGTCATGAAAAGTCTGACCTAGTTTCGCACTATCCATAATCTTCTGTTTTTGTCTCTAATCCTCGAGAGTACATCATTATTATTATTATCATTATAATCAGTTTATCTTCCTTACTCTCTTTTTTTTTTGGGATTAATGGAAACCCACCCAGTTTCTTTTTTCTTCTTCTCTCGTCTTCAGTCCGTTTTCATTCTCTCCGAATATATTCATAGCCTCCGCCACAATGATTTATGTGTCTTCTGCCCGGCTCAAATTCACCTTTCAGAAGAAAAGTAGCAGGAATGAAGTGGTGGTCCACGTGGATGATTCCACTCCTTCTTCTAATTTTCATGTATTATGAATGTGATGCAAAGAAGGGAGGACGTGGATCATCATCGTCAGCGGTTGGAAGACACTATTCTAGAAGCAAATCATATTTTACTAGGAAGTGAGAATACTGATCTCCCATTCAGTTCATAAAAAAGTTATTTTTCAGATTTTCAAAACCAGGATCCATCGAGCACACTTCAAGTTTTCGATCATTTGTCTTTGGGGCAACATCCGGTTTGCTTTTATTCAATGCTGGAAGACACATCATTCAAGACTCGTCAGTGCCTATTTCGTGAGTATTTAGTGGGTATTTGAAAAAAAAAAACGGAAGTTTTGGTTGCAATCAAAGAAAATCTGAAAAGCTATGAAAAATGACATGAAAATGAGTGACGTTGAATTGATGTAATGGTCTGGAAATAAAAAAAAATTTTGAATTTTGTTTTGAGAAAATTTGAAAACTTGAATAGATACTCATTTTTTGGACATCTGATAATATAATTTTGATTTATATTAAAGGTGGGGGACATGAAAATAGTTTTTCTCGGCACCCAAAATTTTGAATTTTGCACAATTTTCCTGGATATTCTCACAGAAAATAAAAAGGTGTTAACGCCTTAGCCTAAGCCTAAAGTTTTAGCTTAAGCTTAAAATTGAAAAAAAAACCAGAATACATTGCGTTGCAGGTTTATGCGACCACTCATGTTTTGGGTCATGACTTTTGAACCGTTAGAGTTATCAATCTAATTTTTTAAAAATTTCGAAAATCTAATTTTGAATTACATGTAGATTTCTGTAATGAAATCTTGAAAACTGCCCGAGTTATCTGGAAAAGTCTGAAAATGTGCCATTCACAACCGTTGCAGGTTTATACGGCCACTTCAAAGATCGGTAGATTATAACCTTCAGGAAAGACGGAGGAACCTGATTTTGATTATGTATCATTAATAGCTTAATATCGAAAATTCGGGTAGGCCTCTCAAACCACCAGAAAGCTCCGAAAAATTCTCCTGTCTCCTCTCCTTTAGTAAATCAAAATTTTCAGCTTTGGAAATAGGAAATACTACTGGGGCGAGCCGAAATATGTGCCAGACGAAGAGCTTCCAGTTCAATGTATCAATAAAATAGATCCTCAAGATCCGCAGTTCGGAAGGGTGAGACACAAAACACGTTTCAGAAAAAGTGTAATTTCTGCTTTCAGGTTTTCTTTGATAACGAATCTCGACCACAAGAAATTGTGTATGCCTGTCCAGCTGATAACAATTGCTGTGGATATGATTGTTGTACTGAATCAACGATTTTCACTTCTATTTTGTGAGTTTGAAATCTTGAAATTCAACAATTAACTAGAAAATCAATTGATTTTTCAGTGGCCTTCTTGTGATCCTTCTCATCGTTTCTGTCATCAGTATTTTCGTAATTGAAGGATTCCGATGGTGTCTTCATTTCACCTATTTCTGTAAACACGGACATGCTCGTGACTTTGAACCTCTCAGCATCTGAATACTCTTTTCTTATTGTTCCAATTTTTCAATTTGTGCCTTTTCTCTATTTCAAAATTACGGTTTTCTCTCGAAACCCAAATCCAAAAATTCACTTGTTCAATCGTCTCTTTCTGCGATACTTTCACCCAAATATTTCGTGTTCACTTTTTCGATTTTTTCTGCCTTTCTTGATACGGGTTGTTGGTTCCTCCTGCAAACACTTTGAAAATAAAAAAGTAAAGATTGAAAGAAAAAAGATGGAAGTTGAATAATAAAATGGTTACGACCGGAAACGACCAGAGAGAGGGGAAAGCCTTCTGCAGTTATGCTCCTTCTCTTCATCTTTTCAATTTATTTAGCATCTTCGATTACGGTAGATGCATACTGTGAATATGGTACTGAATACAAAAATGCAACTGGGTGAGATATTTGGTGTTTTTGGCTTGTGACGGAGAAAATGTTACTGTAGCCACACTAGTCAATCCAGAGGAAAATCTCAAGAGCTTACCGTGAACACTTGAATAGAATTACACTATAACTTATATCTCGGTTCCTGTACAAGATATTGAAAAGTGGTCAACCGAAAAATGTTCTCGATACTATGATGGTCATTTTTACAGTTTATCACTTTTTGATATCTTATACATGAAATGAGATATGTGGTCTCAAAGTTGGCGGTAGTTACGGTAGTTGATTTGAAGCAGATTATTCTTATTCCAGTTCCAGCTCGAAAAATTGAAGCATTTTAAATTTTCAGAAAAGTTTCGCTTTCTTTATTTTTGAATTTCAAACTTCCCAAAAAAAACACAGTAAAGATTGGTTTTCAAAGAATCTGTCTTCTTGCTTTTCTCGTTTTCTACACATTGACTACCATAAAACCTGTAATAGAAGAGCCCCCAACTTTTAACTTTGAGCCAATTTATCTAGGTTCCTGTCAAAGATATTTCAAAGTTGTCAACTAAACTTTTTCATCATAATATCATCAACATTTTAACAGTTGACACATTTTTGATTCATCCTACTCCCAAGATAAATTAGGTCGAAGTCGACAGTGTGGAGGTCCTTCTATTACAGGTTTTACTTTTTAGTGGAACTATGATAGAACTTACTTCCTAATCCCCGACAAATAGTTTTCATTTTACCCTAAAATCACAAAAAAAAATTTCAGATGCTTCCAATTTTTCCATACTCCTCTGAACTTCACAAACGCTGTTCGAGTAGGTTTCCTCCCGCCTAAAACCATCAGAACAACGGATTTCAGTTTTGTCGTGTTAATATGAAATCAACTCTTGTCCGTCCCGTATCTTTCATTCGAAATCAACAATTACAACAAGCTGCAATTAAATTAGGAATCGAAGAATACTGGATTGGTGCATCAAATGTGGATAATGATTGGGAATGGTTGGATGGAAGTATGCTCACTTATTCCAATTTTGATGTTCTTGGAGGATATCCAAAGAAGACGGAATCTCAAATTGGAGCAGTTTCAATGGGTTCACTCTCCGGACTCTGGTATACTAAACACGATTCCATGATGTTACCGTTCGTTTGCGAATTTCCACTTTCTAATCAATACGATAATGGTGAGGGTGTTATTTTTCAATTCATTTTTTGAATTGAATATTTATAGGCATGTTGTACCGGGCTCCAAAACTGCAAAGTCTAATTTTCCCATCCGCAGGAACGAAGGCGCCAATGTTGATGGTTGATTCTGTTGATCAATCGGTTTTATTTGAAAAGATCGGACCGAAGAAGAATGAAATGGAAACTGGAGAAAAAGTGTATCTGAAGCCAATCAATATAAGTACAGCTGGAATGTCAGGATTCGAAGGACAACCGATTGTAATGTTGAATACGTTCAAGAGAAAAATCAAAGTGAAACCAGTGATTGTTTCTCAAACTGAAACAGAGTTGGCTAGATCTTTGAAGGAAAAAGAAGAAGTGGAAGATTCTGTGAATTTGAAGTCAGTTAAGACTGGTGGAGTAGGAAACGGTGGAAACGGTTAGTTGTCTTTCTAGGAGACCCGGAGGGTTACAAAATCCATTGTCCGAAATCGCACCCTAGATAAATTTTTGGTCAGACGATTCTCGCTCGTCGTTGTACATTTGATACTCAGCCAACGAAAAGAGGAAGAAGAAGCCCCGATCTCCCGTTCACTGGGGCGCGATTTCTGACAATCGGTTTTGGAGATCTGCGAGGGCCCACAAATTTCTAGGCAAAAGTGTTTCAGGGTAAAAAATATCCCGGGAAAAGTGGGTGGAGGGGCGGAGCTTAAACTGCAAGCATTTTTATACGGTCATCAGAAAAACCGTGCGCACCTGTCCGGAACGACTTTTTTGAAACATGGAATCCGGAATTCGGAAAAAAAATCTCGGAATCCGGAATACGGAATCCAGACAAAAACTATTTCACGAAATCTGGAATGCAAAGTCCAAAATGCGGAAATCTCTGCTCTTTTCTACTTATGATTCCCAAAACTCACATTCCAATTTTTCCAGGAACATCACTTTCGGAGGAGCTCAATTCCAACTCAAAAGCGAAAAGAGAACGCGAAGAAAGCGAGTTGCTTCGCTCGAAAACCATTCAGATTTCTCGTGGATGATTTCTGTGAAATCATCTGAAATCACTATCTTTTTGTGTTCTTTGTGTGTCAATTTTCAAATAAATGCCCTTGTTATTTGAACAAATAAATCACACGAATAAGCAAAACCATATTACGCATGCGGACCCCGTCAATGACGCAAATAGACAACGGAGAGAAAAGTAGAAGAAGTTGAATAAAAAGATAACGAAGAGATAGAGTGTTACAGGATGTGCACAGAGGTGTGAATAAGAGGATTTTGATGTATAGTTTCATGGAAATGACACACCACTTCAATGTTCAAAAATGGTTCGGTTAGATAAAACAATTTGAAAGAAATAGAGAAAAAATACAGATTGGAGGGTAAAAATGGTTAACTGATGTTGCCAAATAAGGAAAAGAATGTTCCGATATTGTCCTCGTTTCTGTGCAGGCTGATAATAAGTACTCCACCCATCAAAAAATCATTTTGCTGATAACAATCAATCAATGAGTGTTTCATTGGAGAGTCTCGTGACTCCCGATCATTCGGAATGCTCTTTCGGTTTCCCCATTTCCTTATATTTAATTGCTTTTGCTGTCGGAGTTATGGTTGTTCTAATGATCACATCATTCAGTTTTACGATTAAACAATTAAAATAATGATGCCATGGCTAGAATTCGTCACACCTATATCGTAAATTTTGTAGCCAAACTATGTTTTTTGTTTTCTCCGAATAATTATAATTTAGTTTTACACATGTTTCGAAAAAGTTGTCATAATGATTGCTTGGAAGTTCATAGAACTCTTCTTGATATTATTCTGGTTCCAAAAATCGGAGCTGTGGAAGAGAAACGCCGATGGCCGTGTCAGAAGGTCCCATAAATACAAATACAACTACCGTAACCGAAAATCGTATTCGAAATATAATTTTTCCTGATTTTAATCGCTTCTTTTCCTACTTTTTTAGGGGAAAAAGAAAACTCGACGAAAGCGAGTAAAAAACGAGTTAATAAATACAGGAAAATAAACATATTTCTAGGTTACATTAGTTGTCGCTGAGGGACCACGACCACCGGTTTTTCTCATCCACAGCTCTGATTTTTGTACCATAATAATAGTCTCTAATTATTTTTGAATAGTTGGCTCTCCTATTCTATATTCTGTCTACCGTAATCCATTACGTAATCTTAAATCCCCATTAAAATAATACTACGAATTATAAAAGGTCAACCAGAAAAATACAAAAGTTAACAATGTTTCGTTTTTGAATTATCATCTGGACGTTCTTGAAACATTTTGAATTGAATAAGTTGCTCCGATAAATTCTACTGGAAAAACTGGAACTGTGCTCCTCGGAATGTCAAAGAAATCGCACTGAAAAAATGGCACTGAAGAGCCATTTCTTTTTTTCAGGTCAATTTTGAAATATGACGATGTTTCTATTCTGCAACTAATAGGGTCGGTCATTCGTTGAAACATGAAAAATCTGCAAAAAGTGTCAATTATTAAACAAATTATGACCTCAACCACAACCACTTGCGAAGGAACTGCACCCATCTATCACCTAAAAACTTAATGATATCAACATTTTTTGAATAGATATATTTTGTGACTGTGATTTCTATTATATAATATAAGATTTGATTTTGATAACTGAAGCGGTCGCATGATAATTTTACACAGTTGACGATCAATGAAACTTTAAAATATTTCGTGTCTTCTGTCGCACGAACTGCAGCCTATCCGGAAATAATCACCTATTTCTATGAGGCGTTTCTCTTATAATCCCAAAAATTTCGGAAAAACATAATGTAGCAAAATCTGTAATAGAAGGGTCCCCTAATTTTTAACTTTGAGCCAATTTTTCGCATAGGAATTTAGATAATTGAGCTCAAAGTTGCCAGTGTGGGGAGCTATTCTATTTCAGGTTTTACGGTATTCGATAAACCAACATTCTCTTAATTTAAGTTTACAATCATGCTGATATTGAAACTCTTTCAGCTGTCAAAACATTACTTTACCACTTCAAAGTTATACAAAAATATGTAGCTTTTTCTATTCAAACTGCAATTACAGCACAAAAAAGTCCGTAAATCACTGATCCCACTGAGGACCTTCTATCTGAATATACGGCTACAGAGGTACTCTGCGTTCTTTTTGTCTTTATCCTTTTTTGACCAATAATCTCGAATAACTCTCCTTCTACTTTCTGTTTTTATCAGTGCACGTACCCCAAAGACGTCTATAATTCCTTCGGAATTCTTACCGCTTTCTCTCCTCTCTATCTATCTCTTATTCTTCTTTTTTCTTCGTTTACCATGTTGCAAATTTACTATTTTTTGATGAATTATCATATATTTCAGATCTATGTTATGGCACAATCCATAACTTTTTTATATTCAATTCTGATAATTTTAATATCACTTCAATCTTCCGATGCTATATTTTTAAATAGTTTATTTTCGACACAAGATGGATCGAATTTATGCAATGCTGACAAGTGTGAACTCAAATCGAACTGGAGCCATCAAGGTTTGTGATAGGGGACAAACTAAATAGAAAAAGATAGGAATAACTAGAAAAATGATAAGGAAAAGAAACTATCAGAACACAAACAGTGATTTATAAGTTGGTGATATAAACTACAACTTTAGAGAAAAGAAAGAGAGCAAATATAGGAATTGTATTCGAAAAGGTTGAAGATTACTAATGCATAGTGAATATGTACGGTTTCATACTTTCCGTGCAGAAAAACTACATTTAAAATCCTAAAAAATTAGCTTACAGCTGTTGGATTGTTTTGAAAGTTCCATGAAAAATGAAACAAAGTTGGATGGGTTTTAATTGAAAATTTTCAAAAGAAAATTAGCAATATACAGCAATGTACTACTGGCATTCGAAAATTATCAAAGTTGCTGAAATTGTTTGAATATTATTTTGGTACAAAAAAATCGGAGCAGTGAAGGAGAAAGCCCGGTGGCCATGGCCGAAGGTCCCACAACGACAACTACCGTAATCTGAGAATATGTTTATTTTCAGTATTTTTTTTCTGTTTTTCATTGCTTTTCTTCGAGTTTTCTTCTGTTATTTTTTTTTCAAAGTCGGAAAAAATTTGGTTGATGAAAAATTGACTGAAATTGAGAAAATACGAAAAAATAAACACCTTTTCAGATTACTCAGCGTGATGGGTTTAGGAAACAGCGGCGAATGGATCGTGAAAAAGTACTACACGGCTGTTTCGCGACGCTTTCACCACTGTTTTCTGAAACAATCGCCGCTGTTTCCTAAAAATTTTGGAGTGCGATAGAGCGTGATTTCTTAACCGTCAATTTGATTTTTTCATTCGAAAATTTAAAAGGAAAAATAAATTGATCGAAGTATTTATTTCTACTTAGCCAAATACAATTTTAAAAAATCATATAACTGATTGGACATAAGTAAAGACAAAAAAACAGGCAAGAAAGTAATTAGAAAGGAGAGAAAATAAGTATAGAAGGATTTTCCGAGATATGCTTTGTAACGAAATGGGTTCGTCTGGACAAGTTGATAGAGTCGAACAGCACTAATTGGCGAGAACGGTCGACTTGAGAATGCGGTTAGAACACTCATCCGAAGGATTCTGAATATTTCTATATAAGATAAAATATTTTTATACGTATCCTAACATTGAACTATTTCACATCAAGTACAATTATTGGCCGTAGTGACCCCCATTTAACAAGATCAAATGAGAGCTGGCGAAACTGTATATTTTCAATCGGCTTCTCGGAATCTGCACTCCTGACGCTTCTCGAGGATGCTTCTCTTCCTTTTGCGTTCGTTTCTTCATAACATCGGCATCAATTAAACGAAAAACTCAAAAACATAAAGTAAAAATTGAATTAAGAATTGTTTTTAACCAAGCAGAGCTACGCGTCCGCCAGCGTTTAGCCGCTATTTCGCCACCGTTTCGCAGGTAACGTGGATGTGGGTCTCACGGCGATTTAATTCTCTCGGAATTTAATTACACCGCTGTTTCCTAAAAACACCCTCTTTCGCCGCTGTTTCCTAAACCCATCACGCTGAGTATAGTTTTATAGTTTTCGCTGTGAGACCTTCGAGTTTCAAACAATTTCTGGACTTCAACGTTGACGAAGTTAAACTAAAAAAGTCGAAATATAATTTATATTGGTCTGGTACCGCAATTTGTATGAATATAGCCCCAAATGCGGCTATTTTCTCTTGAGTCGTAACGATATGCTCGATTTCTTCAGTTTTTCAAAAACTATGGGGAGAAATTCGAAAAAAAAGGAAAAATATTTTCAGCTGTATGTGACTATGTAAACTGCAACGACGATGCTTGTGAAGGGGGAGGTTATCTTCTATGGACACAGTACGTGGAATGTGCTCCAAACACTACTTCAAGGGTATCTTATAGGCTATTAACTCAATTCTTCCATCTCAAATTCCATTCAGGTTTTCATAATCATAGCTGCAGTACTCTACATGTTATTACTATTCCTTATGGTTAGCTCAGCTGCTGATGACTACTTTTCTCCTTCGATTTCTTCAATTGTAGCTCATCTTCGAATTAGTGAGTCTGTAGCGGTGAGTTATTTTCCTAGAAAAGGTTTTCTGACTTCAAAAAGTTCCAGGGAGTAACATTCATGGCATTTGGAAACGGAGCTCCTGATGTGTTCGGTTCGATTGCTTCCGTTTTGAGCAGTCCGACTCCGAAAGCAGATTTGGCTCTTGGGGAACTTTTTGGAGGAGGTCTTTTTGTAACAACAATGGTTGTTTCAACTATCATCCTTACTTCTCCATTCGACGTAGAAGTATTCAGTACAATAAGGGATCTCCTCTTCTATCTTGTGGCTCTTTCTTTTCTCGGATTCTGTTTCATATTTTACAATCGTGTCACATTATGGATGCCATTGAGTAACACTTTTCAAAATGAAAAGACACAGAATTAAATCAAATAATTTTCAGCGTTTCTGGGATTGTATCTTCTCTATGTGCTAACAGTTATTGGAGCACAATATTATCACAATCGAAAAAGAAAAGCTATTCAACAACAGAATAGTGTGAAGAGTCGAGCCAGTCGGAGAAGTCGAAAGAGCCTTCATAGTGTTGCTCCGATGCCAGTGATTCCTGAAATTGAAGTTCAAGAGCAATGTAAGATTTGTTACTATTCACGGTCTCCCCAGTTTCAATTTCGAACTGCAAGAGTTTTGTTCAGCGGAGTGCGGTTCCGCGGGGCAAACATTTTTGAAAATTTTCGTACTGAAAAGCAACTCGAATTGTCATTTGGGGAAAATGTGTCTATTGAATGCCAAACACATACATTTTCAGCAGCACCATTTCCTGAAATCTCAGTTGTTACTGGAGCAATCGACAAATTGAAAGAGCACATGACAGAGAAAGCTCAAGAGAGACCAGTCAGAAGATACACTAAAAGACCGTCGTTTTTAGTAAATGGAGAAGGAAATTTGAATCATTTACATCCCTACGCGAAACAGAATCATTTGGGAACGTCGAGAAGACAAAGCGAATTATCAAATGAAGATGAAGAATTCGTTGTGATCCATGGACAAGTTTATCAAGGTCATGAGGCAAGAAGTAGAGCAGCAAGTCTTGTTCCCGAGCCAAGAAAAATAAGTAGCTGGCAGAATTTTGATGTGCTAACTGATCTAGCTGAGCATTTGGATCCCCGTCCAGATGCAGAGGATTGGGAGGAGATGAACATCTTCTCGAAAGTTCTTTCTTATATAAATGTAAGAATTCTCATTCCGTCGTGTCTATTGTAAAATTTTCAGGTTGGACCAAATTTCCTTTTCAAGCTAACAATTCCACTAAACGAACAAAGTTGGTCAAAACCACTGACACTCATTCATGCTTTCACATGCCCTGCATTCCTCTTATTTTCTCTTCAATGTTAGTTTTTCAACCAAAATTTCAAAATTTTTATAATTGGCTCAGAAAAGGATTGGATTATAATCAGTAATTTTCATTCCAAGCGTTGGGAATAGTGATCTTCACAGCCAACGGCAAGAGGCAGCCGTCGAGAGGTGTACTGCGATAGCGGCCGACACTTCCCGGGTTCCGCCGCCCGCTATGTTTTGTGTGTGCTGTGACTCCGCCCCCTTTTTTGTGGGAGAGGGAGTACGAGAGAAATTGAGCGTCGAAAAGGGAAAAAGAAGAAATACTCGGGTGCGGGACCGTAACTTTTGGTCGGAAGTTGAGGGGGGTTCGGCTTCTGGTCGGATCTAAGTCAGCTTCAGGTCGGAAGTTCAGGAACTGTCGGCTTCAGGTCGGAAGCTGGCCGACTTTAGGTCAGAAGTTAAACATCGTTTGGATGTCACCGGCAACTTCTGGTCGGAAGTTGAGAGGGGTTCAGCTTCTAGTCGAATCTTGGTCGGATCTTTGTCAGATCTTGGTCGGATTTAAGAAGCGTTGCGTATGCGACGCGTGCGTTTTTCATTCTTGTTTATTTTTTCGAAACTGTTTTTTTTCTGCCGTTTTACTTAAAAACGTTCGTTTTTGAATTTTCGTTGTAATCTTAAAATTAGTTTTTCAGAAAAATACGTCCGGTGCTATGAGGGATGATTTCTTCAAAAGAAACATACAAAAATTATCAGGTAACTTGTTTTTAATATTTTTTATAGAAATTGAAGTCTTCAGGAAAATATAATCCATGTCAACAGTTCAACGCCAAGTGCTGGGGACATTGCACACGAAAGTAATTTTTCCAAAAAAATTGAATTTTCGAAAGTTTTGCTTTCAGGAATCGAAAATTCATAAACATCTGGATGCTAGAAAACCTAGGAAAGAACCGAAAAATTAACCAGGTATATTTCTATATTCTGAATTAAAAAGTGGTTTTCATCCGAATTTCAGGCAGCGGCATGTCAGCACTTCTCGACACCTTTCTCGGCACTCAACTCAACAGCCAGAAGATGATCTTCAATGAAAAATTTCAATAGAAAGAACTTCAACTTTTAAGGTTCTATAGATAACATGGGAACATTTTTAAAAGGTCATTTGGGAATTTGCTGAAAATTTGTAAAAAGCTACTTTCGAACATTCTGAAAACGATTTCAGCAATATCTTGGTCACATTCTGAATAGTAATCAAAACATAGGCTTTCAATGTGATTGTCTCAAACTCTAAGTACTGAGAGTAGCAAATTCCCAAAGACCTTTTAAAAACTTTCCCTTGTAAGTTTCGTTTTCTGTAATTTTTAAAAAATTTTCTTTTTTTCATGTTAAATTTTACTTGTAATAAATAATTGTTGATACCCATTGCTGTGTTGCTTTTAAAAATAATCAATTATGCGAACCGATATGAGGTCAGAAGTTGGTCGGAAGTTTGTCGGAGCTTGGTCGGCTTTAGTAGCGGTCATGTCCATAATACTACCAAGCAGCGCCCAGAAGACGACCAAGATCCGACCAAAACTTGCCGACGACACCCGAGTATACCTAGTTTTCAGTGGAATTTAAAAGCATCGAATATTCACAAAACGATTTGAAGGAAATAGTAGGAAAACCAGAATTAAATTTTCAGTTTTCCTGAAGTCTCCATTCTCCGGAAGTCCAGGATTATGGCTCTATGGATTGGCAGTATCCATTGTGATCGCAGCTCTTCTTATATTTTTCACCGAGTTAGGAGTTCAACCAAAGTATTACAAGGTACAGGGCTGGGAAAGATTGGATTGTATAATTCTGACGATTTCAGTCTCAAAAAAATTTTAAGTCTGTAAATTTCTGTGTACCGTAAAGCCTGTAATAGAAGGACCCCCACACTGTAAAGTTTCAGCTCAATTATCTCGGTTCCTGTAAAAGACGTCAAAAATGTGTAAACTAATAAAATGCTAGTGATATTGTGATAAACAATTTATCAGTTGACAACTTTTTTAAATATTTGACAGGAAACGAGATAAATTGTCTTAAAGTTAAAAGTTAGGGGCCGTTCTGTTACAGGTCTTAAGCTAAATAGGAAACCAAAGAGATATATTTTTGTAGTTTAATATTTTTAAGACATTTTTATTCAAACGGAAAATGCAATTTTCCGTTTAGTACTACAACGGGGTTTCATTCGGGTAAAATTGCATTAAAAAAATCGATTATAAACATATGAATCACTTTGAGAGAAATTGAAAAAAAACCTGAAATCTTCTTACGGAGCATTAAAGTCGACCATTTCCAATGGAAATGGTCAAAATTTGTATTTTAAAAATTCAGGAAATCTACTCATATGCTGGATTCATAATGTCAATTGCTTGGATCTATTTGATATCTTCGGAAGTTGTTAACGTCGTCACAATGCTCGGAGTGGTCTCCAGAGTGTCTCACGAAGTTCTGGGTCTAACAATTTTGGCATGGAGTAACAGTATTGGAGATCTCATTGCTGATGTTTCTGTTGTAAAACAGGGATATCCAAGAATGGCGATGGCTGCTGCAATTGGAGGTCCTTTGTTCAGTGAGTTGCCATAATTGAAAAATCGGTTTTGAATAACGAGATTTAGATTTGCTCATGGGATTTGGACTACCATTCACTATTGCAAAACTACAAGGAAAATACATTTCGGTGAGTTTCATTCTCCAGTTTTCCTCGAAAATATCCTTTTTCAGATGACAATCAATCCAACTTATCGACTTCTTATTTTATTTCTAGCCATTTCTCTATTAGCCACTTTAATAGGAATTCCTGTTCAAAAATTCCGTCTTCAGAGACCGCATGCGGCAGTTTTAATTTCAATTTATATCGCTTTTATTGTATTTGTTCTACTTTCTGAGACTGGAGTTTTGGTTTGGAATTAGGTTAGAGAAAACATTTCTTTTTTGGTATAATGGCGATTTCTGTCTAAAAGCGGGTGTAATGTATTTAAAAGTTTGTCAGATTAATAAATTTGTGAAACGTTGAAAAGTCGTATGGATTGAAACTTATATGTGTGAATTTTCTAATTTTTTTGACGTATTTTCTGATGTAGAACACCACTTACTATTCGGCTTCTCATTTTGAACTTTTTTCTCCGAAACCAGAGAATTCAAGAACTAGCTAATTTACAACGCCGTGCTGAAAATGAAAAAGATACCTGCAGGGAAAAATGATCAGAAATTGGAAAGGATTACTATAAACTTGCACTGGTTGCAAAAGACATTTCTCAGATCTGATTTTATTAAAAAAAAGTAACTAAAGGAAATATTCTGTTCAGAATCCGATTCTAACAATTTAAAATCTATACCTCTACATTGGTTCTGAAGTTATGGATCAACGCATGTTAGTCGGAGCTTGAAAGTTGAACTTCTACAACGTCGGAACCTTATCTTTCGTTTGGCGGAGTTTGGTCGACCTTAAACAGATTCCCTGAATTCTCGAGAAAGGATGACTAATGAAATTAGTCTTTGTAGAGCGTATTTATAAATTGCCGAGTATTCTGGAAAAACATGGTTCAAATGCCACCCAAAAGTATCGAATGCGTGGATTAAAAAAGACTGGAAAACTTGCAAATAGATCTTATGCAAAATCTGAAAAATATTTTTCGAACTTTTTCTTATCATTCCGTGATTGCTCATCCCCCTAACAAAACTAGACAATAGTTTTTTATAAAGGTCAGACCAAACAAAAAACCCTCAAGATCAAAAATTTCCGGTATTAAAATTGTGAACAATTCACTAAGCTTTTTGCTTTATGGCCATTTTTTTGCATTAGGTTTCAGAAGAAGTTTAAAGGTGACCCACGCAAAACCAAAAACTCAGGTGACTTGCAAATCTGTCTTAAATATTACGTTCCCATTTTCACAGTATCTGATGAAAGCAAAAAGAAACTATAAAAGAAGAAACGAAAAAAGGAAACGATGGAATTCATGTGCCTATCCCTCCCCTAATATTCATGTGAATCTGTTTCATGTATTTCTTTTTGCCCAAATTTTCGATTTCTTGCAATTTCAGTCTTTGTCCCCATTTTCCGTGATTTTTTTCCTGATCGAAAGTGGTGTTGATCAATTTATCATCTCTCAGAAGCTGATAAAAATGAGGTCAAGGAATGGTTGAGTGCAATTTGCGGAGAAAATAATTTAAGGAAATAGTGTATAGTTTGTGCTGCGATAAAATGGTCTGATGTTCAGTTAGGTACTACAAAAACGTATTTTTCTAGAAGTCACAGTATTGAACAAAAATTTATTAACTATATCTGGCCTTAGTTGAATAGTATCATATCAGGGTTACGGGAAAAGCGGAAGATTTTATGGGGTTACCTCGATTTTTTAAAAATTGGTGGTGATAATTGGTGGTGATAATGTGTCTAATAATGATTTATTTAGAGATTTTCAGATGGTCAGTTTTTATTTCACAATTTTAATGCAGCCGATTCTGAGCGTGCAATAAATTGAGATTTTTTTTTCTAGATACTGTAAGCATTCTAATGTGTAGAGTGCCACACAAACTTTTAACTTTGAACCCATATATCTAATTTCCAGTGAAAGATACCAAAAAGTTGTCGGCTAATGAATTGTTTATCATAATATCATAGATTTTTTGTTAGTAGACACATTTTTGATATCTAGCACAGCAACTGAGATAATTCAGCTCACACTTGACAGTGTAGGGGCCCTTCTATTACAGGTTTAATAGTATCCTGGAATTGAATCTTTCTTGCCCAAATGCCTTGCTCACTTTCAAACAAATTGGAAACTTCAAAAATAACACACAATTTTTTGAAAAATTAACAAAAAACGCCATAAAATGATTCGATAGAATAAGGAAGTCAGTGAATTGGAAATTTTTATGATATTTGAAAGTTTTGGGTTAGATTTCTCAAATTTGTATTGTAAAACTAAATTTCATCAAAGATATTTCTTGGAAACTTTAAACTTTAGAAAAATTTAGGTTCTAAAATATCCAAAAAACCCAGGCATCAGTTTAAAAAAACGGAAAAAGCATAACTAACACCAGCATATGACCTAATTTTGAAAACTTTTCTATCTTTGAAAACAGGAAGAAACTAGAGAATTTGTGCTAAAAACTCATTTCTCGAGTGGGTGGAGACAGATCAAACAATCATACTTTGGTTTCTGTAACTCTATCGAAAAACATCACATAACCTTTTATAATCAGCAAACAAAACAGGCGTCAACTATTTGATCGTTAAATTTGGGCGAAATTTGATTAGAAGAAGTCATTGACATCGACGTGGAGTGAGCAGTCATCATTAAATTCTTATCATTCCCCTCTGCGACTGCATAAAAAAAGTGGTTAAATTACCCGCCTGATTCGAAACCCATTTCAGTCTCGATTTCTTTTTTTGCTTTTGACCTAGTTTTGCTCTTTTGAACCGGTTTTTTTTCTTCAGGTTCTTCAAATGCAAAAATGGATTTGGGCATATTTGATATTGGTGTTGGTGTTAAAAGAATGTGATGGATGGCAAGCTGATCTAGGAAAAATGGTTAGGAAATGGAAGGTAGCAGGTGGAGAAGCCGCGACAGAAGAGTGCGTTTCAGACGATGGAGATCAATGTACAATTCAAGGAAATTGGTCAAGCACACGTATGTTTCAGTATCCTTATTGTGTTTTCCTTATTGTGTTGTTTAGCTGACTATGTGAACTTCCTGACAAAAAATGTCTTTGTTAGAATAGTATAAGAAGCCAAAAATTATTATTGTAGGATTTATAAGAACATCGTAATTTGTAATTTATTAATTCAGAAGTTGAAAAATAGTAACTCGACAAAGATTGGAAAAGTTTGTACCGATCACTGTACTGTCAGTGTATTTCAAGTTGTTTCATCTTACAAGGGAATGTTTTAAAGATGTCCTTTTCCTTGAAAATTTGCACAAAGGTACTTTCGAATATGCTGAAAACAATTTCAGTAATGTCTAGTCCCCATTCCAAAACAGGAACCAAAAAATGGGCTCTCGAATTGTTTTTCGTTTAATTTGAAACCAAAAACTAGCACTTTTCAAGCTTTAAAGTCGTTTTAGAAGATTTTTCGGAATGCGAAGCTCAGTTTTGACTACTTTCATCGGTCTGTCAGGTTAGAGCTAATTTTTCTTGGTTCCTATGCACAGTATCAAGAATATGTCAACTGGTAAAATATTGTTGATATTATGATGGACAATTGATCAGTTGAGATTGTTTTCATATTTTTGACAGGGACCCAGATAAATTGGTTCAAAGCTAATAGTTAGGGAGCCATTCTATTACAGGATTTACAGTATTCCCGTCATAATGTAGCGGATGTCTCAGTTTATAAGAACTGAAATTTTTCACGAATTCCCAAAAGACCTTTTTGAAAACGTTCCCTTGATAGGATTGTGAGTGTTATCCCGAAAAACCCCCAAAGCGATCTCTGGAAGAAATCTTTTCAGAAGTGTGTAACTATGTGATGTGCAACGACGATAACTGTGAAGGTGGTGGATACCTACTATGGACCAGATACGTGGAATGTGCTTCAACTCCAGCAATCCGAATAGTTTTGATTGTTGCTGGTGTCCTTTACATGCTCCTATTGTTTATTATGGTTAGCTCCGCAGCTGATGATTTCTTTTCTCCTTCTATTTCCTCAATTGTTGCTCATCTTCGTATCAGTGAATCTGTGGCGGTAGGTGTTTGGAAAACTTTTAAAGATCAGACAGTCCAGCATCAAACCGAACTTTGATACACTGATAATACATTTATTTTCCCAAAACCTATTGTGTTTCAGGGAGTAACATTCATGGCATTTGGAAATGGAGCTCCTGATGTGTTTGGAGCTATTGCTTCCGTTTTGAGCAGTCCGACTCCAAAAGCAGATTTGGCTCTTGGAGAACTTTTTGGTGCGGGATTATTCGTCACTACAATGGTTTTGGCTGTCACTATTTTTTCAAAGCCTTTCAAAGCAGAGGTTACTTAATTTTAGGAAAAATCAATGTTTTGCTCTTTTTAAAGGTATTCAGCTCAATTCGTGATATTGCTTTCTACTTGGTTGCTCTCGCATTTCTCGCTATTTGTTTCATATTTTATGATCATGTGGAGATATGGATGCCTATAAGTGAGTAGTGTCTTATTGATTGTGTTAATTAAAATTATCTGAATTTCAGCGTTCCTCGGAGTCTATCTCATCTACGTTTGTACCGTAATCCTCTCTCAAATTCTTCATAATAGACATAAAAAAGAAAGAAAAGCAACAGAAATAGTGAAACCGATTGATGTGATATCTGTTATCAGTTTGGATGATGATGAAGATATTTATATCAGTCACGGACATCATATTCTTCATGCTCACGAGGTTGAAAAAATAGAAGCTGCTACAGAAGAAGCTGAAATTCTGAAGACGTGGTCGATTGGAGGTGTATTGGAAGATCTAATGGAACATTTGAAACCATGGCCAAATGAAGAGGATTGGAATGAAATGAATGTGTTTCAAAAGGCAATTTGTTCTGTGAATGTAAGTTTTATTCAAATCCAAGAAATATTCCGGACTCATTTTTTACAGATTATTCCAACATTTTTCTTCAAAATAACAATTCCCCATAACGAGAAACCATGGTCCAAACCGATTTCTTTGCTGCATTGTCTCATTTGTCCAGTGTTTTTACTCTTCTGTATTCAAGGTTTTCAACCCTTCCTGAATTAAGAAATCATTTGTTTTCCAGTTTGTTCAATTTCTCCGTTTCCCAATTCTCCTGGTCTCTGGCTATATGGATTGATACTCTCGGTTCTTCTTCTTGCATTGGTTTCGGTTTTCACTGAACTTCAAAAAGAACCAGAGTTCTACAAAGTAAGAATCTATTTTATAGATTTCTTTTTATAACAAATCTTTCAGGGAATAGCTTCTTATGCAGGATTTCTAATGTCAATTGCCTGGATCTATTTGATTTCTTCCGAAGTTGTCAACGTCGTCACAATGCTCGGAGTGGTCTCCAGAGTGTCTCACGAAGTTCTGGGTCTAACAATTTTGGCATGGAGTAACAGTATTGGAGATCTTATTGCTGATGTTTCGGTGGCCAAGCAAGGATACCCACGAATGGCGATGGCTGCGGCGATCGGAGGCCAACTTTTCAGTATGTTTAAGAACTTTGCTTTTCAGTATTTCTATAGAGATTTTCAGATCTTTTAATTGGTTTCGGATTACCATTCACAATTGCTAAAGTTCAAGGAAAATCAATTTCGGTGAGTTTATAAGCCTAATCAGAATTTTTTAGATTCTAAAATTCCAGATGATTATCAATCCAACTTATCGTCTTCTAATGCTATTTCTTGGGATATCCCTCGTTTTCACACTCATCGGTCTGTGATATTTTATAGAAAGTAAGACAATAAGAACATTTTTCAGCAATGTTCGCTCAAAAGTTCTTCCTTCGACGACCACACTCATATTGTCTAGCTTTCATCTACATTGCATTTTTCGTTTTTATTGGCCTTTCTCTCGATGGTTTACTGGTTTGGAATTGAACGGGTTCTAATTCAATTGTTGCTATTTTTATTACTTTTCATGTTGAACATTCTGTCCTTGTAAATATTAATGATTGCGGATATGAATATAACGATTTGAAACTTCCAATGTTTTATACCTTCGACGCGTTTCAAAATGTACAACTGAAATTAATTGAAAAGAGGGGAAGAGACTAAAACGGAAGCGATAGGTAGAAGGCAGACTCCAGTTATGATTCTAGAAGCAGCTGATAAAAATGAGCATCAGATACATTATTAGGGAAAGAGGAAAACAAAACAAAAAAACTTGGTAGCAAAAGGGAACGAGAAAGAATGAGGAGAGGAAATTGTGGAGGAGGGAAGAATGTATCGCGGGATCGGGGGATATGTCATGTCGATTTGTTGGAAACAACGAATCCGAACCGGATCGAGAGAATTGAGACGCTGCTCGCACAAACGGTTTTGGGATCCGTTTCGAAAGTTGACACAACGTGATTATTACAAGTAAAATTGAAGTGACGACCTGTGAGGTTCAAAAAGTTATGGTGAATAAAGAGTGTAAAACATAAGACAGAGAGAGGATGGGTATGAAATGGGCAAATTACTGTACACTGGACAAAAAATTATTGAGCGCTGGGGGATACAAGGAGAAGCGAGCATCAAACCTATGCAGAATATTACTTTAAAGAGCTGAATCATCACGTACGACGTGAAAGAGAACCCGGTAGCAAGTGGAATTCAAAATGGGTAAGAATGTGAGGACAGAAAAAAGAAAAGGATGGCTTCAAGACGAGCCCTGTATGATGACTACTTGAAATGAGTACACAAGAACAAGGTAAATCAGGATAAAGGCGAAACCCGCACAAGAGAAAACATGATACTAGTTGATCACTAAATGTTATCATCTTCACGATTAACCGATGGGCTGCGAGGAATGCCTGATACAGAACCTTTGGCTTCCCTCTGAAACAACTTTTTTCAATTATCGAAAATTCGTGTATTCAGAGTATTTACCGGTAGTTTCGGCCTGATGAGATCATGCCTCGCCAACTCGAAGACGTCCGCACGATCTTCTTTGCGGTATTGCAGACACCTTCTAATGAAATCTTGAGCCAATGAGCTGACCTGAAGTACAAAAGAAAAATGAAAAATGCGGAGACTAGTATGATTTACCTGTGGCTTGTTAGGAAAAATCACTTCTCGGGCGTTTATGATGGTGTTACATTCAAGAATCTTCTGCTGAGTCAAATCATGTCCGAAAGGCTTCTTTCCATAGATGCATTGATAGAAAATGACACCGATACTCCATACATCGACCTTGCATGTGATCTTTGGTGGTGGGACGATGAAAGTCTCCGGTGGAAGATACCAGTAGGTTCCAGCAAACTGTGAAGTGAGTTCAATCCCGCCGTCGTGGTCATCATTTTCTCCTTCCATGATTTTTGAAAGACCGAAATCGGTGATTTTGATGGCTCCAAATGTATGACCAGACTCGAGAAGAATGTTGGCAGGTTTCAGATCGTAATGAATGATTGGCGTGCTTTTCTCATTCAAATAAACAAGAGCAGAAACGACTTGCATGATGATGCTTCTAGCCTCCTTCTCACTGATCGACTTGTTCTGTTTGAGGTAGAAATCGAGATCGTTTCCTGGGACGTATTCAAGTACGGTACAGAACGAATGATTGTCGATTGTGAGCAAATCATATTGTTTAACGATGCGGCAATGATCCAGAGACTTGTGAATGTCCTTCTCACGCATAGCATGTTTCACATAGTTCGCCTTCTTCTCTTCCTTCCAGTCTTTGTTCACATGATGAATTTTGCAGGCCACATACCGATTCTCATCAATATCAAAAGCCTTCCAAACCTCACTGAATCCTCCTTTTCCTAGCAGATTGAGCATCAGGTATCTCTTATGCAACAGTTGATGCTCTTTGAACTGAGATGCACTCTCATTAGCGATACGCTTCAGCTCTCTCATGTGCAGTGACCTCTCCTTGTCCAGACGTTCCTTCTCCATAGCGACGTCGGTTTCTTCCTTTCGCAAATGTTCTTTTCTCAATCTGTAGATTTCTTCCAACTCGGTATACTCCTGAGGAGGAATCTCTTTCGGCTCTTCTGGTCGCCTGAAGATGGCATCATCGCCATTGGAGTTTGAGCTGGTAGATGGCTGCATTCCGTTAGAATCGTTTTGGATTTGAATGCTGACTGCTTGAGGACGTTTCCTGTCAACTTTACGTTCAAGTTCAGCTGGTTTTCTTTTCTTCAAAAGAGTAGCTGCAGCATTGATATCGTTTTTCTCCGTTGCAAGCGCCTCCTGCTTCTTTTCGATTTCGGCGAAACCCCAGCCATCAGTCCATTGATCACGGAATGAATCACCAATGCGCGTGGTTTTGAAGCATCCGATGCGCGGGGAATCTGCTGAAATCTTATCTCGAAGCGCGGTTCTCTCTATCATATTCTTCTCGATAAGCAGTCGTTTGATAGTTTCTTTTGATGCCTCGTACTTCCGGCGTTCGGCATTTTGTTTCGTATTCATATCATCAATCTGCCTGCGGTAATCTTCAATGATACGATCTCTTTTGGCAATTTCGTCAGCTGATTGATTACTATTCTGCAACCTCTGAAATAAATAAGGAATTCAATGTGTGGAGCACAACAATTACAACAAACCTGTGATAACGATGAATCCGTTTGCGTTTCTCCATCAATCGTTCGCACCATTCTGTTTCCCGCTTGTCCTGGTGGAGACTGATTCGAGTTCGAATTAGAGTCTGAAGAATAGTGTTGTTGTTGAGTTGGCGTAGGAGTTCCACGATTATTGACTCCTAGTGAAGGCGTAGCCATACCCCAATAGGAGTTATGCATATCGTGTTGATTCATTTGATTTTGCTGTTGTTGTTGTTGCTGCTGTTGATGTTGTTGCTGATGTTGTTGGGGCTCGTAGTTGTTGGAACCATTCTGTTGAGGTTGTCTCTTCGGAGAACCTTGATTTTGATGGTACTCCGTCATCAAACAACGTGCAACATTGCTTCCAGACGCTTCTCCAACTTTCATAAACTCAGTAATTTTCCTTTCTTGTTTTGGAGTCGCTTGCTCATCGTTTGGTCCTAATCTCCTCCGTTTCCGCACAGACTTCTTTTCAGTAGTCGTGGTAGTTACGGGTGCTGTGGGCCTGAAAATATAAAACTCATAGCGATAATTCGTATAAACCGACAACTCGTTATTCAAGAAGATAATGTGTATATTCTAAATTCATTAATCTTACCTTTGCGGGGTTCCTCCTGCTTGTTCTGGCTCACGATCAGAGATACTTCCTGCCGAAGAAAGATTGCTCGATTCATTGATGTGCTGCAATGTAGTGGACGACTGTTGCTGTTGATTCGACTGCTGCGGTTGCTGCATTTGGCCCTGCTGTTGAGGCTGCTGCTGTTGAATTTGAGGAGGGTACATTTGATGATGCTGAGCTTGCTGTTGATATTGCTGTTGTTGCTGAAGACATACAATATGCCATTACTCAATGGATTACGAAAGGCTCACCTGATGATAATGCTGCATTTGCTGCATTTGTTGATGATTGTGGTACTGCATATTATATTGTTGCTGTGGTTGCATATGATGCTGCATTTGCATTTGATGAGGATGCATATGATGAACACCAGAGTTGTAATCTCGCATTTCGAGAGAATCTTCCGACATTGTCTGCATGCCCTGTGGCATCTCGGTTGGAGATGACCGAGAGACTCCACCATTTTGAGGTTGTTGCATCATCACTGATGTTGACGGATGAGCATTTTGCTGCATGAATCCTGTAGGCCCGAGCATTCCGGAATTCATGTATGTTACGTTCTGGAATTGTCAGAGAATTAGTAATTTCGGGATAACATGGAAAATGATTATGCTGAATATCGTCCAATCAATAACATGTATTCCGATTTCTACTCGTGGCCGAAACGAAATGAAATGAGACAAAAGTGTGTGTGTGTGTGTGCGAGAAAAACAGTGCCGCTTATGGCGCTCCTTACTACCCCTCCTCTCCCTTCCTCCCATTCTTTCATCCGTTCGTTCAATCAATCGGTAGGAATGAGAGAAAGAGAGAGTAGGATGCGGGAAGACTTGGGGAAGCATAGGAACAACGAACATATAGCCACCAACTCGCCCTAGCAGAAAATAAAAACATGGCGGGCAAACGACATCGCTATTCAGTTGTGGAGGATGCGCGAAAACTCTTTGCTAAGAAGAAGAAGAAGAAGACATGTGTAATAAAGCTGACCCCGAGATGACAGACCCGAAGAGTACCCAGCCAATTATTTTTGGAAACCGATAACATAACTTACTCCAACATGACCCGTGCCTCCGGTAGCCATTGTGATGCTCGGAACGCCGAGTTGGTCACCGACAATCGGAGCGTGATTCGACGAAGAACCGTTGCTCTGGACCTGCAATAAGGAAAAGATTGATTGTGTAAAAAGATGAAAAAAAGAACAACTGGAAACAGTGTTGTGTCAACTGAATACGAAATCAAAACTCACACACTCGAAACCTATTTCGGAATGAGTGAGAGTTGGGAGACTTAGAGAAATAAGAGCACACATCTACAAAGGAAAAATAAAACAGAAAGAAGGCGATGAAGAAAAGGAAGGCAAGCACGTTGGGCACCGTATGACGTCACCATCACAGAGCAGAGGGCCAGGATGACAATTTCGATAGACGACTCTTAACTTAGTTTCATTCCCTAGCAACCGCAAATTTATAAAAAATACAGTAACTTTCCGATAACTATGAAGACCAATGATGATTTTTCTTTTTCTAAAAAGAACGATTTTTCTACTGAAAGACTTTTCTTTGAACTCCCTTTTTTAAATAACAATCTTCGTCGTAAGCGTTTTTCGTACAATTCTTTCTTTTCAGAGAACATAAATTTCGGTGTGCGGTAAAAGACACATGAACGCTTGATGGAAAAGAATAGAACAGTGATGGAAAAAGGCGCGTAGGGATAGAGATGGAGAGGGCGATGAGAAGCATACACACATACGCTCCACATCTGGCCCTAACCCAGTGAAACCAAAAAAAGAAAACGACGAATAAGTAGAAGAGGAGAGAAGGGCGACATCGGAGATGACAACACCATGGATAGGGGAAAGAAAGCAAAGAAAAAAGATGAGAAAAAAGAAGTCGTCGGGAAAAAAAAAGAAAAGGAAGAACATTTCTCAGCCAATCTGCCTATTACATATAATGCCAAATCAGGAGAGTGGGGTGCAGAAGTGGGGCACATAGAGGTGAAGAAAAGCGGAGAGCGAGACCAACAGAAGGCGTGGGCCACGAAATCTATTAAAATCTCTCGGAGAGCATGAGTGCGTTAAGCATAAAGAAGATGCATTGCAAAACAATTCAGAAGGTGATAAATATTTTCAGGTACATCTAGGAAGAGAAAGATGTTCAACTAAATCCTTCAGACATAAATTATATGATATCACATTGTTTCGCGAAGCGCGAATGAGAAAAAGTTAGACTGATGCACTCATCATGTTCTTATCACCTTTTTTCCGCTGATGAACATTTCCCACGAAGTCAGATGTGAAACACCGGTGACGCGTTGGTAACACTTCAAACGTACTTCTAAACAGCTCAAAAATAGAACTAACAACTCAACGAACGATGCCTCAAAACAAGAACCAAACAAGATATATAAATATTCAGGATAGCCCCAAATGAGTTGAAAGGAAACGAAGAATTCGCTGGTTGTGACGAGCAGCAGGCACAGAGTCCAATAAGCATTTTGTTGTGTGCATGTCTCTGTGGCGCTCCATCCCGACATCTTCTCCTTATTCCTCTTTTATTTCCGTGTGTTGAACACTCTCATCTCACCATCAAATCACCCTCCTTCGCTTCTCTCTTCACTCTGCTACTACTAACCCAGAGACGATGCATCACCAGCGCTGCAGGCAAGCAACACAGTGGTCGGTATGACATGGGAGGGCAAAGACAAGAAAAGTACTACGCGTGCCATCAATTTATTGTTTCCTAAATCACAATAAAATATGTATGCATTCGAGGTTTTCGCCAAAGTTAATCAAAATCGAGACGTTCAGAAACCATACATGTAACGAGAGAAGTATCACAAAGTCAGAGACATAGTTCTTGCAAATCGCCGCGACGAAAAAAAAATGAAAATTGTTCGGATCAATACAAAACGAGAGACAGCAAAAAACCGCACATGCGAGGAATCAGACGAAAACGAGCAACGGGATGGGAGGAGAAACAGAAAGTAAGAGTGAAAAAAAGAAGAGCGAGAACGAGATGGAGAAGACCGCCTTCTCGTCAAGAGCGCTATTTGCGCTTTCAACACCTCGATGAAGCACAAGCCATTATCCCTGGTTGCGGCTACTGAAATTCAGAAAAACGCGCGTGATGGAGGATAAAGAAAAACGGATCGACCGATTGAATCAGGTGGGGACAATCAAGATGAGGCCACATATGAACTGAAAAATCTGTGGGTGTAGAAAGGGAAATAAAAATCCTAAAGTCAGAGAGAACTAGATTTGCAGTGAGTGGGGTAAGCGTTTGAAAAGACGACGAAAACGTCCATGTGAAGGAAAGCTCACAGAAACGTCACACGACTGGCTAATTACACTGGGAAAAGGAAAAACCTGGTAACGGTGAAGGAATAACAGACGACTAGAGCTAAATTTAGTGAGAATAAATTGAAAGAAAAATAGAAAAGGTGTTCGGATCGATCGAGAGCTTGTGAGGAGGGCGACAAAACAAATGAGAGAAAGAGCAAAAGCAGCGGTAGGAGCAGCACATAGCAAAAGCCAAAGCATATTGCAATTCGGCCTTCCTCTTTGGTGTTTGATAACGGTAAACACACATGTGATGACGGGCAATGGATGATGGTTGTTAGTTGGTTCGAAGTAGAGCGGGAGAGAGAGTACTTTGTATGTCCAAAATATCGACTTATTAAAAAAAAGATGACCGTCCGCTCGAATTGCAAATGCGCGACACGATGGTCGCATAAAGCGAAATATATCAAGTCGGAAAACGAGGAGCGAGGAAATGGGAGGAGGCAAAGAAACGGGGTAGAGAAAAGGCAAATGAATCGAAGAGGTCGAAACACACACCAGGAGGGGCAACTGAGACGGCCCCTTCCGCCCCTCCCAAACAACCGCCATCTCCACACCATGCCACGCAAAATGTGTTGAATGGGAAAAAAAACGCGGCGATGTCTCGAGCCGGCAGCTCTTCCTCTTTAGGACCCACGAGTATAAGAGCGGAAACGAAATACGCACTCACTCAGCGCATAGAGAATGGATAAAGACTTCTTCGTCGCCCGGTGCCCACAAAGCAAGCGCCATGTGTCTTCTTCTCGGTCTACATCTACTCCCTAAGCTGAGCTGGAGCAAATCAGTTAAGAAACCAATAGAGTGGCCATCAGGAACGAATGAAAACTGCTGCAGAAAGATCGAGTTAGAAGGGGGACCTGGTGCTTTGAGACGCAGGGTACGCCACACGAAGAGAGTGTCAAAGAAGAAGAGAAACAGAAGGACAGCGTAGAAGCCCACACTATATAGACTAGCGAACGACAAAGGAGAAAGACCACATAGTGGAAAAATCTACGAACTTTGTGAGTTCGTACTCTGGAGAAGAAGTTATTGAAAAATATAAACTTGGTAGCATAGAATGACCAAAATGGTGACATCAAAAGAAGCAGATACGCGACCAAGCAAGTTAGAGAAAAAGAGACGCAGAAAAACGATGGGCGGAGAATGGAGAAAGAACACAAACAAACCAATGGATACACATTAGAATTGAAGGACTGGGAGAGAAAGACATAGACAGAAGAGGAGAACACAACAGTCCATATCTACTGTCTGTGTCGCTATCATATTAAATGTATACAAAGAACTGGGAATGGGATCATCACCCTAGTCTTGGTTTTTGCAACTACAGATCAACAAACTTTTGTCTCACAAAACTTATGATTCGCATTTGCATTCTACCTAAATGGTGAGAAAGATAAATCACTGATCTGAAAATTTGGAAATTCGATTCCCACCATGATGTGTATGAGGGTGTCATGCGAACTATGAGCTCGGAGTAAAAACTGTTTTTAGTTACAATTTTGATTGTATACGAAGCTAAAAGAACAATTCTGGTAAAGCTGCAATCAAGAGAGGAGAAATGACGCTTCTGCTGAAAAACGATGAAGCATGAGAAATTCTTCAGTCTCGTCACCAAAACGAATGCTTACTTCGAGAAAAGGCAACGGGTACCAGTGAAGTGACAGCTTTGAGATAGCTAAACTATGCGTTAGGAGATGACAGAATGTGTTGAAATAAAGAAATTTATGCAGTTCCGAATTTTCGAAATTGCAAAGTATGGGTTACTCAAAAAAACATAAGTATCAATCAAACAGTTTCTTTACGATGACAGACAGATACAATGCTTCAGAACTAACACTCATTGAACGATAGTATTAGTCGTCCCCATTCAACTGTTTAGTGGAAGATTGACAGAGTAGATTTATGAATTGACGAGGAGGACGACGAGGACCGAATGAGAAAAATTGGTTTAGCCCGACGAAGTCGTGCGCGTCGCCATTTGCCCTGTTCAACGACGACGACTACGTACGAAAGATGGGAAAAAAAAGAAGAAAGCAGCCAGGGGGCCAAGCCAAACACCGAGTCGCTTTCGACGATGGATGGTTAGCGTTTTGTGTTGTTTAAGTGAATGTGAGTGCGTGTGAGTGCGGATGTGTTGGAAGAGGAGGAGTGAGCGTCTCCGTGTGGGTCGTATGCAATCTCGCGTCAGTCAGTCCGTGCGCGTTATTTGTGTGTCAAAGAGTGTTTTGGGTGGTATAGCAGGAGAGATTGTCGCGGATCCGTGCATGGTTCACGGGTCGACAGCGTGTGCAGTCATCACACCTACATCAAAAGATTTACGACGACGGTCGTTCGACATACTAGGAGAGGAAAAAGGTAACCTATACTAAAATCGGACGACTATATTTTCTAAGAGTGGAGAAACATCACATAGAAGTTTAAAAATAACTTACAGTTGGCAGTGCTTTGTTCCCTGTGTTGAAAATTTTATGTTCTAGGCCGAAACTTTGTTCTCCTTTAACACCATTACTGCTCGCTCCACCTCCAGGAATCCCATCCATCGACATCATCGACATGATAATAAGGACGGTGATGTGAGCGACAGATCGCGATCAATTGCCAAAAAAAGAAAGTGGACTTGAGATGACAAAATGAGGTTTCGATACGAAGTTTGATACGCGGTAGCTCTGAAAAAATTTTTTTGATTGAAAAAAGTTCATAAAAGTAGCAATGATTGCAAGAAGAAACGAAGAAAGCGAAATAAAGTGACTAAATATGAATGAAAGATGGAAGAAAAATTAACAGAGGAGATCCTCACTACAGTAACACTAAAGATCCAGATATTAACATTCCAAATTTTGAATGAAAACAATAGAATTTGACGACTCTACAATAAAATTAGTGTCAAACTAGAAAATAAACAGTTGAAAAGAGTCTTCTTCTCAAAAAGGTAAGTGAATGGATCAAATGTGTGGCAGAGAAAGTGTGCGGAGACCTCCGTCGTCACATGACCATCATCCTGCGTCCATATAGCAAGAGAACCTTTGTGTTCTCGTGTGCCCTCCCGTCGGCCATCTAGAAAAAATCTTTTTGCCTCCAAAACAAAGCGGCGCCACCACAACTGCATATCGCAAACAAACAAAATGAGCTTGTCGTCGAAAAATTCAGATGGCACTATTTCGAGGAAAATGGTTATGAAACTTTAGGCTCCTATTAAAGTTTCCAGAATTAGGAATGTCATTAAAACATGAAGTACAATCTCAGGAGGATTCAGTGAGTGTGAGAGAGAGAAAGAGAAAAAGTAAGAGATTACATGGAAAGGGTAAAATGTATGAGCGAACGAGGAAAAATAACCATCTGTGCGTAAAGTCAGTAGTGATAGCATAAGAAGAAGAGACACAAAGAAAGAAGGTACAGCGAGATGAAGAACAGGGTGGTGTCGAAGGACATCGACTTCTCGCCGTTTCGCGCTCGCAATGAAAACTGAAAAAAGATGATAACAAATGAGGAGAAACGGATAGAATCGGACGAAAGGAAAAGGGTAGAGAGGCGACTGCAAGAACATAGTTTTCGGCGTGCCGCTCTGCTGGCAAAAGCCATCCGATCGTCAATTATAAACTAGTCTCGGTTCAAAAATGTATCGGTCACCGAATAATAAACGTACAAAAGGCATAACAAAGAAGATAAACACAGTTTGAACCGCACATTGATGAGATTAGTATTCCTAATTTAAGAAATGAAAATATCATGATTGGTAAATCAGAGATTTTAAGATAACTATTAAAATTGTATCTCTTATCTCACATTCACAACAAAAACGGAAACAGTCATTAAATAGTTTTTGGTGAAGGTCCTAGGAGAAACAATTGAAAATTTGGTGAACAAAAATAACGGGAACTGTATGGAATGGGCGGAGCGATAGAGGAGAGGACAACAGTGTTTCTCTGGTTTCACATTCAATCGATACAAAACATAAGGAACATACGACTAACAATGTGGCAAAGGAAACCCACTTCGTCTCATTTGATGGGGGAATGAAGAACTAAGAGGCACAATCGAAAACAACAACGCGCGTTTGGTTGGGCAAAATGAACTTTATGAGCTTGCTTGCAGTAGTCTCGATCTCCTATGTGACCGCATGCATACTGTTATTTAAATAATTTAAATGACAAGGTTTTCAGATCAGTAGCTAAAAAGAATGAACTTAATGGGATAGTTAACTGCCTAACAACGCAAAAAACGATTTTACGTTGCGGTATCACGTTGAAAATATAAAAATAAAGCATTCCAGTCAAATAGAATATACTTTTTGTTCGGTTTGACCGAAATTCAAAAAAGGCGCCAAATAATCCTGTAATGTGAACAGAGGGTAAACGCAAGTAATGGTAGGAGACGAATCGAGAGAGTGTGGCGACCGAAGAGACGCTGATCCACGAAGGTTATACATCGCAATCGGCCATCATTCAGCAAGTGAGCGCACTGGACGAGACGATAGAGCAGAAAATATACGCAGTCACATTGCAACGTCCAAGTAGCCATCCAAGACCGAACCGGGGGTAGCGAGAGATCAAGCTCCGTCTGGACGGTGCAGAAAGACGAGACAGTGGGTTAGAGAGTACCCTGATTTTGGAGGAGAATGTACTACATTTTTTCACAACACCACTCGTTTTTTTTTTGTTGTTGGCAGCATTTTCGAAAACTTTCGATGACGTGAATCCTAGGCTGTCTCCCCTTTTGTCATAAACTCGAAATTCTTCTTAATACGAATATTTAGAATAGGAGAAAGTATCCGTGTTAAAGTCTAGCTAGCTCTAATATTATGACATAGAATAGGCTCTCATCAATCTACTGTGCAAACAACTAGCAATTTGTGCCTGTCTTCTCTAATGCAGCCACTGTAGTTTTGAAGAATGCATACTCTTGTGGTACGCACGATTTTGTAACATTAGGTATCGTCCTTGAATTGTTACGCCTTTGTCCACGAAAATCTTACATACAGACCGATTACTTTAGCAAATCTGGCAAATCACAACACACTGAATAACTGAGGGGCGTACACATCGTCATAGATGCAAATCAGGAAAACATGGAATTGGATGACACGGGGAGAATAATGTCACCGCTGATGTCAACAATCACAACAGCAGTGTAATTATTAAGAGCAAAAGGATACGTTTCAAATCGAGCGATCTAAAAAAATGAATTTTGAAAAAGGAAAAAGAAATGACTAATAGTGGGAAAGACTGCAAATAAGACATTGTTTTTTTTTTCGCACACTCTAGCGAAACCGAAAGAGGAATGACAAATCGATAAATGAAATTTTCTTTTGGAGACTTGTACTATTTACTGCAAGTGATTGGACACCGACCTACACAGAGAACTCATTGAACAAACATAGAGAGATAGTTCACGAGTCAACTTAGTTTGTTGCGGTTCGATAGCATATTTTTTACAAGCATCTTTTACGCTCTCTCGTGTCCTGGTGAACAAAAATCACTTGCAGTCAGAAAAAAATCTTAAATCAGCTAAAAATAAATCCGATCGATAAAACTACTTTGGATTCAGAAGTGAATACATCGGATTTAGAGGGGAAAATAAAAAGATGATCGTGGGAACGGTACAAAGTTATCAAAAACGACAATTTCATAAAAACGGAAACATGAAAACACAAATGGAAAACAAAAAAAGAAATTTCAAAACCGGCGCCATTGCACCTGATTTCACGAGCAATGCGCGTTAACTATTATGCCTGCGTACCATATTTCTTTCGAAAATTGTCAAGGCAATTCAAACCAAAGTTTGTTTTAATCGTAGTTTGAAACTTGAAACAGGTGTTTTTTTTTGATTTTCGCAAAGAAAATTAGAAACTCGGTTCTATTATGTCTAATATCTCACAGTTTGAACTGCGAATTCAACGTACTGGTTTCAGATATGAGTTATTCATTATGCCTCTTTTTTTTTTGAAAGAATCCGAGCTCTCAACTTTGTGTTCACACTTCATTCATACAATCTCTAAAGACAAATTGTAAAATTTCAGATAAAAATGTCCATTGCCACGAAGCTACGCAGAGTCAGAAAACCACCACCAGAGGGATGGGATTTGATCGAGCCAACATTGGAGCAGTTTGAGGTAAATAAAAATTATTGAAGTTGTGAAAAAAATCTAAATTTTCAGGCCAAAATGCGCGAAGCCGAAACAGAACCACACGAAGGGAAGCGAAAGACTGAAATCAACTGGCCCATTTTTCGGTAAAGATTTTGGAAAGTATTAGACAGCTGTCTGGAATTTTTCATTTTTCAGAATCCATCACCAACGGTCAAGATACATCTATGACATGTACTACAAAAAAGCAGAAATTTCCCGCGACCTCTATGAGTTCTGTCTTACAGCCAAGTTTGCCGATGCAGCGCTAATCGCAAAGTGGAAAAAGCAAGGATATGAAAACCTGTGTTGTGTGAAATGTGTTCAGACTCGTGACAGCAACTTTGGTACTGCATGTATATGCAGAGTACCGAAAAGCAAGCTTGATGCAGAACGCGTTATCGAATGTGTTCATTGCGGTTGCCATGGGTGTTCCGGTTGATCTCCTGTTCTTCTCATAACATGTTTATTTGTCCTTATTTTATCTATTCTCATAATAAATAACTGAATCGAAATGATTTGTATGTTTTCTTGTCACAATACTGAATTAGATGTGTTTCTCAAATATCTGTTTACGAAAATGGGTGACGACACATACTTAAAATCCATTAAGATGGTTTCTGTCCCATCATTTCGCCCGAATTCAAACTTTCCACAGTTATGCGATAAAGTAACAGTTGGATGGGATGCGAGAAGGGGAAGATTCGTTCAGGCAACAGAAGATATACCAATTGGAACTGTGGTTTGCGTTGAACAGGGAATCACAGTAAACGTTGATCAAAGTAAATGCTATCGGTGTCTCAAACAACTTGGAGACGACGGATTCGCCTACTGCGAAAGCTGTGAAGAGTTCTACGAACCTGATGCAATCGCCTGTGGAGATTTCGACGGACTCGGAATTTTCAAACTTTCTGCTCATCTCGTTTTCAGTTATCCATTCCTAGATATGGCCAATCTAATCCGATCCAATGACCCAGGTAATAGAATTCAAGTTCATTGAAATCTTAAACATTCTAGCTTCTAGTGACTTCCAGAAATCCCACAGTCGGCTCCAACTTACTTGTCAACCAAGGATGTCACATCCGTTTTTCAGTTAACGCCTTACCGAGAAATAGGAGAAGCTTTCAAAGAGCCTCCTCTTCAAGCAGCAATCAATAAAATTGTGACCTCGTTAGAAGATGTGAGATGATCATTCTAGAGTTCTCTTCCAATCCAAAATTTTGTTTCAGGATGCAAACTGGGGAAGGTTGGAGTACAACAGCCGACTAGTGACATTCACAAAAGCTTTGCGGATAATGGCGGAAAGATGTGCTAAAAATGCTCACACTATTTACGGTATCGATCAGATGGAGGCCAAGTAAGACACACAACACAATACACATTAGGATATCACTAAAAGCTTCCGTTTAGAGATAAAAAAGTACCACTTGGAACTGGACTCTTCCCGATTTCTTCCATTTTCAACCACTCCTGCACTCCAAACGTTTATGGATTGTTAGTTGTTTTTTGTTCGACAGTATTCAACATATCTAATTTTTCAGCTTCGTCAGAAACACGTTCATCTTTGTCAGTCGCGGAGTGAAAGCTGGAGAGGAGCTAGTGGATTCTTATGGAGTGACCTACAATCAGCACACTCTTCAACAGAGAACAGTAATTATTGCCCCACTAAGTCAAAGTATTGACGCTTTCATTCCAGGAGTTTCTCAAAAATGTATCCGGATTCGAGTGTTATTGCGATTCGTGTGTTCAGAATAAAAGCCTTGATGCAGAGTGGAGAAGAGTTTCAATGACCTTGAATTGTGTGCGAAGAATGCATCAAGCATTCCCGATTTCTCGCAGTACGGAGATTATTTGAAGCCTGGATCGAAGGAAATAGAAGACTTGATTGTTGAATTCGGAAAGAGAAGGGATGCTGAAGTGTACACAGAACACATGTTCATGCTGTGGAAGAAGTTTGTGGAGAATGCTAAACTACGCGGAATCGACTATGATCCATATCTCAGTAATATTCAGCTCATAGATTCTAAAAAAATAATTCTCTTTTTCAGTTCACCCATACATCGAAATGGTTATATTATCATGGAATAATGAAGTAGAGTGTTCAGAGGAGGAGAAAGCATCACTGCTTTTCATAACACATCGTCTTCTTCGTAACTTCTACGTCGGATTTCATCCAGTTTCAGAGTTAGTTCTAATTGAAATGTGGCATTTTAGAATTGAATAATTTCAGTATCATTCCGGAATTGGTGGACCAATCAGCGAAATATGAGATCAACCAGATCAGAAATACTGTAGAACGACTAATCGCGAGATCCAGATCTGTATGGGAACACACTGATTATCAAGGCTCTCAGAAACAACCTGAAAACAAGAATGGAATGACTGTGATTCATAATTAACCTATTCCAAGTCTTGCTTATTTATATTTTCGAATCTCATAATTTATTTATTTTAAACAAAAGCTAGATGAAGCTTTTATACTTTTGATGTTAAATAATATCTGTTGGTCTTCACTAAAGATGCAATTCCCTCTGTAGATTGTTTGCCATTCAATCGAATTTTAATCACACATCAACATACAGTCATTTTCACTCGATGGTACATCTTTGTCACACCTCTAAGCTGCTCGATTGCCTGTGCTGTTCCGGAGTTTTGCATCATTTAGTGACTAAAAATAGAACGCTAATCCCTATGTGATAAGAAGTGGTCAAGAAGAAAATGAAGAGAACAATCTGGACTGTCTATGAAATACGGAATTTTCAAAGAAAACGAAAATATTATCGGAATGATCTGATGAGTTAGTGAGTGAATTTGATGACATCACAAAGTGAGAGTGGGTGGAAGAATTGAGATAACAGAAGTGATTGGAAAAGTAATAAAAATATCCGGAAATTGGCTGGTTCGAAAGGTCATTGTCAAGACATGGGTTTATTGATCTTTGGGACAATTTTGGGAAAACATTTTACTCGTGGACATATGCTCAGACTCTTGCGAAGAATACAGTATTCCCCCTCCACATGTATTCCCCAGAAATATTTTTTATACTTCTCAATGAGAAACTTTATGGCAGTAAAAATGTTTGATAAACGTCTAGGTCTACTTGATAACATGATAAGTGTTAATAGCCTCTGATTTAAAACGCTTAAGAAGGAAAAACATTGTAATACGATACTCGTTAAAATAACATAATTCAGTAAAGTGTAAGTGAAAGGGGAGTTAGGATTAAAGACACATGGAAAAGAAGAAACAAGACAGATCGCAGTAAATACTCTATTAGAACGCTACCTTTAACTTTGAACCAATTTATCTCGCTTCCTATGGAACGCATCAAAAAGTGGTCAACTGACAAAATTTTTTTGATATTATGATGGACATTTTGTCAGTTGACCACTTTTTGATATATTCTACAGGAAATGAGATATATGGGCTCAAAGTTGCCAGTTTACGGAAAGACGTTCTATTGGAGTGTTTACGGTAACCGATCGTTACAACTGAGAATAATCAACAACAATTTTTAGAATGTTTTTGTAGATGGTCAATCTAAGAATATGCCTGAATATCAGCGACTGCACTGAAAAGCTTAAAAAATCATAGAGACAAAGAGGAAGAATAAAGCTCTCTAATATTCACAACAGTGGTGGGAAAGAGGGGCGTGATAAGAAGGTGATAAGAGCAAAGTCTTATAAAAGGAGCGGCATCATTATCGTTACTCTCACTCGGCTCTATTTTCTTCTTGTTTTTTTCACATTCATTGGAAAATTAGAAGTCATGACAAACAATAATGTGCCGAATGATGACGTTGGCGAACCGGATGATATGCCAGTGAAGCCTCCGAAGATTTTCGATTTCGCTGATTGGCCGTTTGAGATTCCCGATATTTTCAAGGTGTGGGTCTAGGCGTTTTGCAAATCAAAACATATCTTCAAGAAATGCCTCGAAAAGTTCATTAAATATTCAACCGAAATAGACTTATATTTTTGTGATCGCTTTCTTTTTTGTGCAAACTTACCCAAAGGGTATGCCTACCAAACCTTCTTCCGTTTCAGATAAATTTGAATTAAAGCTGAAAAATAAAGTTTTAGGTTATAATTTTGTTCTAAAAACTCCAATAAACTCTTATTATTTTCCATCGACTGTTGCCTTTCACCCACCCGTAGCAAGCCCGCTTCTAATCAGCCGTTAGATTTCAAAGTTATTTTGACAAAAATATCAAATAGTCCCCCCCCCCCTTTTTGAGTGGCTCGCCGACGGACAACCATTGGCTCTTCAGCGGTCTTCCGCCGCTTACCTGTGAAAAGGATTTTGGTCGGGTACTGTAGTTGTAGCTTCTTCCAATTGAAATATTATGTTGGTATTTACACATTTTCTGCTAATTTTTAACTGTATAAAAATCTTAGCTTTTGTTTGATTCCAGAGAAAAGAGCTGTCCTACAACTACAACTATGATCTGGCAACATCGAAAAGTCTCATGATAATTCGAATGATATTCAAGTGGCGTGGATCGTTATGGGAAGCTGTTTACAAGTGAGTCATTGAATGACCCACTCCACTTTGTTTAGTTTCTATAATTACCCAGAATCGAATCATAAAATAGATCACGAGTCATTTTTCATTATCACTTACACTTTCGTTTTATCGTTCAATCATTAAAATAATGCTAGCACCTCGTAAAATTAATTATTTTTTCTTCTGATAAGTGACGCTATTTGATTGCAGAGAGTTGATCGTTTGGATCTGTGCCTACACACTTGTTTCATTGATTTATCGATTCGCATTGACTGGAACCCAAAAAGAGTAAGTTTCTGAGGATTGATGACAGATTCTAAATTTAGAGTTTTTAAAGAATGAATGTGAACAGTTGATATGAACTGTGTTGGTGATAAGAGAAGAGGAAAACAGTAGATGGTTATAAAATAATATTTATGCAAGACGGACTGTTTGCCAGACCGAAAAGAAAAAGGAATGTTTTCAGTTTATTCGAAAGGTTTGGAGAGTACTGTGATGCTCGAATGGGATATCTTCCACTCAACTTCGTACTTGGATTCTTCTGTAACATAATTATCCGAAGATGGCTGAAATTGTATACAAGTCTTGGAAACATTGATAAGTTAGTTGGAAATACAGTATTTCCTCTAATAGAAAGCCACCCCATATTTACACTTTGAGCCAGTTTATCTCGGTGCTTGTAAAAGATATCGAAAAGTGGTCAACTGGTGAAATATTTTTGATATGGTAACAAACATTTTGTCAGTTGACCACTTTAGGATATCTGTCACAGGAATCAAGATATACAGTACCGGTCGATAAGATACTCAAAAACATATTTTTAAGTTGGTCATTTTGATCATTTTCAGGACGGAAAAATACGTTTTGTGTATCCAATCGGCATATACTGTACTTGATTTTTCTCAATATTTTATTTTTCAGTATTGCTCTTTTTGTATCTGCCTATGTTCGAGGAAAAGATGATCGAGCTAGACAGATTCGCAGAAATATTATCAGGTATTCATTCAATTCATCTTCTCCTAAAACTCTCATTTTCAGATATTGTGTTCTATCCCAGTGTCTCGTATTCCGTGATATTCATGTCGGTGTCCGTCGTCGTTTTCCAACACTTGAAGCAATTGCTCAAGCCGGAATTATGTTACCTCATGAACTCGAAAAGTTCAATGACATTAAATCGAGATATCAAAAGTATTGGGTTAGTTTCAATTGGGCTCTCGAGTTGCTGAATGTAGCGAAATCTGAAAAGAGTATCGACGGAGATAATGCAAGAAATGCAATTGCTCAGGTACATTAAGAAACCCAAAACTTTTCAAAAACGATTATTTAAGGAAATCTGCAAATTCCGAAGTGCGTTAACAACTGTATCCATGTACGACTGGGTTCCAATCCCTCTGATGTATCCTCAACTGGTGAATATGGCTGTTCATACTTACTTCTTCCTCTGTGTTTTCACTCGACAGTTTTTCATTTCCGCTGATGCACACAACAAGACAGAAGTGGATCTTTACATTCCATTCATGACCATTATTGAATTTATTTTCTATATGGGATGGTTGAAAGTGGCAATGGAACTATTAAATCCATTCGGAGAAGATGCTGATGATTTTGATTGTAATCTATTGATTGATAGAAATTTGGCAATTGGATTAACATCGGTTGATGATGCTTATGATCAGTTGCCAGAAGTGAAACCAGATGTATTTGTTGGAAGATCTGTGAAGCCGTTGGATTCAGATGACACCAGAAGTTTGAAGTATCATTTCGGAAGTGCTGCTCAGTAAGTGTAAAATGCATTGAAAAAATCACCAATTTTCAAATTAATAGAATGGAAGAAATATCATATCTGAAAAAGGAGGAAAACAAGATGATTGCTGCTGGAAAGAAGCCAAACAAGTTGAAATTGTGGATGAAGAGTATGAAGAGAAAACGATTTGAAACATCCGCTACTACGTCGTACTCTGTTTCCTTCCCGACACCATAACAACAAGAACATCTGACATCTTTCACGGGTTTTTGAAGAACAAAAAAAAAACAATAACAATTTCTCAATTTTAATCAATAAAGAATGATACAAGTCTATTCTCTCTCTCTCTCTCTCTCTCTCTCTCTCTCTCTCTCTCTCTCTCTCTCTCTCTCTCTCTCTCTCTCTCTCTCTCTCTCTCTCTCTCTCTCTCATACCACCGATCGTTCGACCTCTATATTCTGCAGATTTCCTTCTTTTTTTTTGTCTTCTCTCTTGCACTTATCTTCTTTTATCATCGTTTTCGTCTTTTGTCACTGTTCAGGTTAACCATGTTGTATCCGACAACTAAATTTCTACTTCTTTTGTCAATATTCACACTTTCGGATCCACTTCGAATTCTGCAAATTGTTCCTGGATTCACGAATTCGCATGTTCTTTTTAACTATAGATTGGCAGAGACTCTCAGGTGAATAATTTCGAATGGATCAGACATATGCACCTAGCTAGAGAGAAAAATGGAACTGCCTGAATTTTTCAAAAAATATCTTAAAGTCTTTGAAATATTTTCCAAAAGATTTAAATTTCAGATTTTTATGAGTTTTCCAACTTTTGAAAAGTTTGAATTTCAAATGTTTTGAAGATTTTGAATTGAAAATTTTCCAAAAGTTTTGAATTTCAGGTTGTCCGAAACTTTTGAATTTCAGATTTTCCAAATTTCAGATTTTTTTTCAGATTTTTTCAAATATTTAAATTTCAAATTCTCTCTTTTTCGAAAAATTTTTAATTTCCGGTTTCTTATTTTCAGTAAAAAAACATCCATCATAAAATTTTTTTAAAGTTATAAAATACTATTTAATACTAAATCGTTCAGATTTCTCGGACACGATGTCAAAATGTGGACCCAAATGGAAATGGCGATGCTTGACACCGGAAACAACAAACTTCCAGAAGGCGTCACTGAATACAGAATCCCTATTCATTTCAAAGACACACTGAAAACTGAAGGATTGAAAGTATAAGATACTTTTCCTAAAAATCCATTCAATCCCAACTTTCAGGTATTTCAATCGATGATGTTCGAGTCTGGAGATGCTAATGATCTCTGGTGGACAGGTCAAGAATTCAAGGATATGAGAGTGGAAGCATGCGAACAGATGCTCAAACACGACGAGAAGGTTTATGAAGATTTTCGAAAAGAAGGATTCGATGTGGCAATCGCTCATTTCCATGATTTGTGTCCCCTGGCGATTGCGAAAAAGATGAATGTAAAGAGGGTAAGTGAGGGAAGATTGAAATCGTATTGGGAAAATTTAGATTATTATCCGAACAAAGTACGGGTGTTCTTTTAAAAGGAACACTTGTTTTTTGGTGAATTCAATTAGATGAGGCAAGGATAAGTTTTTCAGAATTCGGCTAATTTTTTGATGACAAGTACTTCATTCTCAAATTCCTAATTTAATCTTTAAAGGCTCCGGCCGAAGTTTTTTCTGCATTAAAATGTTTAAAAATTTATTTATTTTCATGATACTATTTCGAAAAAAATCAGAACAAAATGGAAAACCCCGAAAAGCGCCGTTCAAAGTCAAATTTTTGCTTTAAAAGGTGGATAGTAGGGACCAGGATTTTAATTCCAGCAGAGAAACCTAGGCCACGGCGGCCGAACGACTTCATCAAAAAGTGGCCGACCGTTTTTTAAACTTTTTTAAGTGCCGGAACCGAGAGCGGAAAAAATGCGGAATAATTTCCACCTAAAAAAGACGGCATGTCGCCGTGGCCTAGGTTTTTCACTGCGCAGGAACTCAAATCCTAGTTCCTAATAGCTTTCTTTTTTAGCAAAATTTTCACCTTCATTCGTTTTTCGGGGATCTCGAATTTTTTTTCAAATTTTTATTCTCAATAATATTAGGAAAATACTTCTCTTTCGGAACACTTCAATGCAGTTTTTCTTAAATTTCGTTTGGATTCCCCCTTTAAAAATCTTTATAGGAAATCTCAAATTCTCAACTTTGAGATTTTTCATTATTAAGTTCCCAAAATTAATTTTCAGGTTATCTGGATCACACACGGAACCTCAATTTATGATTTTTCTGCTGTCGAATTAGGTCTTCGAACTATTCCATCTTCGATCCCTCATCCACTTTCATCAGGTTTTCAATTCCATTTAAATATTCTATCCACAATCATTTATTCATTCATATTTCAGCTGGATTCTTTCAATCATTCTCTGATCGAGTTCAAAACACACTTTGGCATCTATCACTTCTTGATTTCGTGAATCTCCCTCAAAATCTTCTCATAGATGAAAACTTATTTTACAGAGGTTTGTGATGATTGTAGCTGCTAGCATGCGCAGCTCTAGATTGAATATTTAATTATTGAAATGACTTTTTTATGTCTAGACTTTCAGTCAGACAGAGTTCAACAGAATATATAGAGAGACATCTGTTTTTAGAAGTTTTTTTGATCTTTTAGAATTTGTCGGAAATGATCAAGAAGATCTTTGGGATTTGGCCAAGACAACAGTTCCATCCTTGTTGATCAATGGAGATCGAATGCTTGATTTCCCACGACCTCTTCCAGTTCATATTGCATTTTCTGGGGAGTTGGGAGTAAGAAAAGGGAAAAAGGCAGTCATGGAAAAATGGTTAGAAGAGATAATTGAAAAGCCTTCGGATGGATTGATTGTGTTCTCATTGGGAACAGTATCAAATACTACAAATATGCCAGCACAGATGATAGTAAGTTTAGAAGAAGATCTCCACGAAAGAATTCCCACTAATTCTAGAATTCGTTCCTTGGCGCTTTCGGAAAACTTAAATCTTACACTGTTCTCTGGAGAATGGAAAAATCAATTCCCGGAGCTGAAAAGTACGATAACTTGCATTTGGTGAAGTGGCTGCCTCAAAAAGATATAATGAGACATCCAAAAATGAAATTGATGATTGCTCACGGAGGCTACAATTCTTTCTTGGAAGCTGCACAGGTTCAATTATTCTCCTTTCAGTTTCTATAATTATAACTTTTTCAGGCTGGAATTCCAGCTGTACTCATGCCTCTATTTGCTGATCAGAAAATCAATGCAAAACGAGCACAAAGATTTGGAATGGCTACAGTTTTGGATAAGTTAGATCTGACTGTGAACAAAGTTTATGGAGCGGTTATGGAAGCATTGAAACCAGAGTAGGATTTCTGAACTATTGGAGACAGAGTTGAAAGATTTGGATTGTTTCTTTCTTTTTTGGGATCCTCTCATACCAGATCATGGGTTTCTAACCCTTTTTTTTGGTTTTCAAAGTTTCCCCCAAAAAATCAACACACAATGTGGGGAGTGTAGTCCAGAGTTCATATGCAAATTGGTTTGGAGATATGTGTATCCTATCTATCTCTATTACTTCCGTTTGGTAAATGTCACACAGAAAGACGGCACACAGAAAGAGTAGTGTAGTAAAAAGAGAAGGATGAACTACAGTATCCAAAGAAAAATCAGCTTAAAGGTGGGGGGACAGGAGATTTTTCGTAGTTTTTTTGTAGCTAGAGTATGCATTCTACCGTCACGGTGTACAACGCTAAATGTCACTCTGCGTACAGCTGTCGTCCTCGCCTTTATGTATGCAAACGGGCGTGCGCGTTCTCTTTGCCCGCGTGGCTCAGTCGGTAGCGGCGCCGCACCCTCAATCATCGCCCTCACAAGTTCAACTCCTCGAGGGGCATCTTTGAACGGAATTTCGAGAACATTATTTTTTTCATGTCCCCCCACTTTTAACGTTCAGAAGTACACAATTTGAAACGGGAAAAAGTCTTTGGAAGATGGTCTTTGGAAGACGTTGACACAAAAAATATTTCCAATAGGTATTTTCTGATAGATACTTTTGAATTTTTTGAATTTCAGAATGTGTTCTGTCAGAAAATGTTTTTATGGTGAAATGTCCAGTGACGAAATGTCCCGGAGCCCAGAAGCTGGAGAAGCATTAACTGTTTTCCATAAAGTTCTAAAATCAAGTTCTCAGAGCTTCCTAAAGCTGATCTTCGGAAACTCATAATGAAATTATTTTTTCAGGTATTCCAAAAACGCCAAGAAACTCTCTGCGATGCTATCGGATCAAGTATCAACTGAACCCTATTACGCACTTCGATACTCTCTGAAACTTGCCACAAGTCCAAAACCTTCGCTTTTCACATTGAAATCCCAGCATCTTTCTTTTTCTGAATTCCATAATTTGGATGTTTTGTCTATAATTGTTGTAGCCGTTCTTGTTGTTTTCTGTTAGATGTTTTATGAATCTATGAACGTTTTTTTTTCAAAAATAGAACATCCTCGATCACTACCAGGAACTAAATTGTTCCGTATTGAATATTCGTTATTTGCAGATTTTCATTGTAGACCCCTGTGACTGTCGGTTTTCAATTCCATATCCGATGTTGAAATTTAAAAAAGTGTTTTCTCAGGATTACCCCTATATACTGCGGATGCCCGCCCCACCCGTTGAATGAAACAGTACCTCATTTTTCAATTTTCTTTTTGCGATTCAGGGAACCCAAGTGGGTCGTCGGTTTACCTATTTTCTTCAAATATTTTTCATAACCTGATCAGTTTTGATTTTTATTGCTGAATTGGTGGGTCTAACATCGGGTCAAAACGCAACTTGAAAAGTTCTGTAAAAAAAGATTGCTTCCAGTAGAATTAATAGGTTTTTAAATATTTTAACTTTCGATTAATTGAAAAAATAGACTTTAAATCCCCTTCTAACAGGAGTTTGCTATGTGGCTAAAGCTGTGTTTCTTCAGAAGTTTCTTCTTATCCTTGAAAATTCAATGTTCAAAAGAATCATATAAAATTTGTAAGGTTCTTCCAATCCCCACTACTTCCAAACCAAGTTTTTTAAAAAGATTAGATTTTCTATCTCACACAGTTTTCTATTTCAATTTCCAAGATCTCCGCTCACTGAGACAATGTTCCGTGTTCATATGTTCACTCTGTGTTGTCAGACACTGAATTAGCAGTGTTCCAGACAAAAATATTTACATTGCGGACACACACGGGGCATGTTGATGTCTACATCATGAGTAAGTCTGTCTGTCTGCTTGCCCATAGAAACACTTCTTTCGAAAAAAATTGCTTCAGACAGTACTCTGAGTCTAGACAAAGATTCGAGTTTTGAGACAAATCTGGTTATTTATCAGCTGCAATCTTATTTCGGCCCCCGGGAGTCTAGACATCTTCTTCTTTGGAAGTCGACGTTTGATCTCGATCTGGACGGACAAGATCTAACTTTGCTGTATACAAAATGTTGTTGTTTACCGGGTAAATACTTAATTGAAAGACTTCTGAAAATAGAAGAACACTAGGTGGCACCGAACCTCTTTTGCAAAAACTAAAATGACGTTAGAATTGTCGGGTTGTGTTCATCAAAACAAGAGGAAACGGAACGGAAGAGATGATGAAAAACAATTTGTCCTAGTCTCAGAATATTCTACCTGGTACACCTGTAATCGGGCCGACGACAACAACATCAAGGATCAGAAGTTGTTCGAAAATGTTCTCAGGAGTGAAATTAAATTTCCACAATTCAGTTAGTGTCTAGAGCTGTCCGACTACCAATGATCTTTGGAACTCTCCTATATTTGGGATACATCTAGAGAAGAACCACTGAAACGTCCTAATTCTCGGAAACAAAATTCTCTTCTTGATCATGTGCACTTAAGGCTTCCAACTCTTTTTTATCTCGTCTAGACTCTTCATATCATGCACTATCAAAAGTATAACTTTGGCTACAATCATGCGCTTTACAACTTATTGCCCTCATCTAAAATTTCCATTTTCTGCTGAAATTGTGTTTTGAGTTCTATGAATTATTTATTTCTGTTTCTATTCTAAATGAGGTCAATTATTGAAGACAAGAGAATGAGCAGTTTCCCAAAAAACGGAGCCCATATCGACGTCACTAGAAAAATAGTCAGCAAAAGTTATGCTGCAGGTGATTTTTGAGAAGTGAAGCGTTGTGTTCAAGACGGTGGAATAAATATGGGGCACGAGGTCTGTCTGGATGTTATAAAATTACATATATCATATTCTTTGTGTTTTAGGTTTTGAGCAAGTAACGTCCAGCCACGAGTATAAGTAAACCAAACGGCGTTCATTTTAGCGAACGAATGCTGTGAGATGTCTGAAAGCAAGGCTGGGCAAAATGGCGGCCGGCCTCGGCCGCGGCTCGTTTTTTGAGGCCACGGCCGGCCCCGGCTTTTATGTGAAAGCCGTGAAAAGCCGCGTCTAGCCTTATAAAAACGCGTGAAGTGAAAATCTATTAGTTTTTGAAGAATTTAGTTTTTTTTGTGTCCCACTTTTCAAAAAAATCTACGTTTCTCATGACACAATTATTTAAAAAAGCCGTGAAAAACCGCACGGCTAGCCTGGGGCCTGTTTTATCANTTGACAGATTTTTGATATCTTTGATATGAAGCGAGATAAACGAGCTCAAAGTGAACGTATAGGGTGAGCAGCAAATACAGTTTTTCTTTCGAAAAAATCCAATAAGAAATATGCAAATGTTTGAAAATTCGATTTCTGTCCAAACACAGAACTCTCAATGACTTCTCGATTCATTCTTTCATCATAATTTC